TATATATACTCATTTACATAATTACAATTCCCTAGGGTATTAATTATAATATTCAAATGACTTTGAATAGTATAAATACAAGTTATAATATCCAGTTGTTAAAGTTCTATATTTTTGAAAATTGACATTGATACTGGTGAGTTATGTATACCTGTGAAAAGCATTTGAGYCTGCAGTATTGCTACAGCATGTTGTTTACAATGTTTATGTTATWTGCCAAATGCCATGTTGCATTATTTTTGGCTGTTAATTGATTTACACATATCTCATGATTGATGACTCAGATGTTGAATTTATTTTTAATTCTTCTGGTAATTAATATACATGAAAATCTTTGCATAATTCAATTAAAGCCATTACTGTTAGTGTTAACGAATACTATTATAAGATTAAAGTCAACAACTTTTAATTGAAGATTTCATAATTAGCTCCCTTTAATTCTTATTCAATTTGTTATGGCAGACACATAATAATTACAATTGTTATTTAAGGTGAAGGTCATCTTATAGTCAAAACGGCTCAAGCTTACTCTCCAAAGATCGGAGAATGGTAGCATTATTCTATTCATTTTCAAATAAAGAAAAACAGGAAAGCCCCAAAAAATCACAGTGAAAAGGAATTTCAGTCGAAAAGCTAGGCATATCATGTAAATATTATTTAAACTTACCTTTCCCAACGAAAACGAGTTTCCTCGGCAGCCATTTAATGTACTTGTTTGCAAGTGATTGACGTTCTGGTCTTCCTGTGGAAATKKTACCTTATATGGAACACGCTTAATGGCAAATGCAAACAGAAACACAACAAAGAAGAAGAGGTATTTTAATATAATATTAAGTATTAATTGTAAGCAAATTGAAGCAAGCTCATCGAAGTTGTTAGGTTCTGTAAAGTAAACAACCGTCACAGYGGTACACTGCAACGTTATACTGCTGTGGTATATCCAGATTCAGCTATTTTTTGCACTGCTATATTTGCTATTTTTTTAAATCATTTAAATCCAGCTCGTTACCCGAGTTCGTTCGTATGTTCCTTCTTTTATAATTTAAAAGCTACGCGTAGAGTGCATTCAGTAACAGTACGAAACGTTAGYAATGCTATGAAACTTAATCTTAGGGGAAAAAATTGACGNCAGTGTTCTTTGACCTCCCAAGCTTTGAATACATGCACATCCCAATATGCTTCAGATAGGAATCGACCATAGGTCCTACAAGTTCAAGTTTATTTTCTGATCGCTCCTCCAATACACTGTCCAAATCACGCATTCCGTAATCTGGTTTTCTTTTTGCTGCATGTACTACGTTCATTCATTTCTTCTCTGCAGTAGATTTCATAATAACAACTTAGCGATTCCAAAATTGATCAGAACGCTCAGAATCACTAGAATTTTTCGTGCCAAGAAGACCGAGTGCCATATCCGCCATCTTGAATAAACTGATACTTATCAGTGAGTCCGCTGTAATATTTGAGCCCGCACTAATGGGAGGAATCCAGGGTCAAAGGAGCCAGCGTGATGTTCTACCTCCGGCGAGGTTCATCTTAAGGTTCATGGTAGGGCCTGTAAGACCTAGCTGTTTAGCCACTCTCTTTGAAAACAAGCTTGCATTTGGGCCGCTGTCTAGCATTGCAAGACATTCCATAAAGTCACCCTCGTTGTTAAGGACTTTACTTTCTGTACTGGGCACAGTGCATTGAGTGTCTTAGCTTTCTTGCTTTCTTGCTTTGTTGCTTGGACCGTATTGTTCTCTGCGTTGGCAATTTCCTTCGTAGTTTGATGTCCATCAGTATTTGACGAAGCACCAGTTGACGTTTTTTTGTCGTTATGTAGAGATCGGTGATGATTTCTTTTACATTTATCGCAGGAAGTTCCATCTGCCTTTTTACAATCGTTGGTATGGTGTGATGCTCTAAGACATTTTCGACATCTTTGATGCTTTTTGACTGCTTCCCATCGTTGACTCAAGGTTGAGCTCTGGTAGACGGGGCACGCTGGCAGCAGATGCCTTTCAGTACAACCAAGGGGACAGGATTCGTCATCCTGTGTAGGCGTATAGACAGATGTAGCGTTATTGAGTGATCTTTTTTGATGAACACTTCGCTGACGACGTTCAATCTTCTCATCGTTGTCAGTGTCTTTCTTTCCTCGTGAGCGCAGACTCGCCTCCTGATGTAGCCAATCCAACAGGTTCTTTACATTTTCTTCTGATCTTTGTCTTTTCATCTCTCTACCAAAATCAACATTGTCCAGTGGGTCAAGTTTTGAGAAAAGCTGAGACATGAAGAAAGGTGATTCAGTGGCGCCATCTACAGCACAGCCATTGTCTCCCATGTCGTTGACGTATCTTTGGATTGTCGTTGCAAACATAGTTAGTGACTTTGAGTCCCTTTTAACAGATTTCAGGTTATTGATATCGGCTAGTAGACTGTCCATAAGCTTTCGCTTATCTTCAAACTCAACATCAAGAATTCCCCATGCTTGATCAATACTCTTACAGGTCTTGACCTGTTCACTCCACCAGCACTGCTTTGGCATCGCCTTTCTGAATCGTTGCAGCTGTTCATCTGGATCCTGACTGTATTTTTTCATTGAGTGATTGAACTCCTTTTTCCAAGTTGCGTAGGTGCGTCGATTACCATCCCAAGTGGGTACAGGTAGCCTTTCAAGCGACGTTGTGCCAGATGGTTTAGTAGAACTCGCTTGTAATGCTTCAGCCATCTTCGTAACAGCAGCGGTCATAGCTTGTAACGCTGACGGTTCAAGTTCATCTGCACACATACTTTGTTCTTGAGATTTAGACGCTTCCTGGCACTCCTTTTGGTATAGAGAATATCTCTGCGTTGTTTTGAAATACTCAGTTTTGACTTTTCGATATCCTTAAGACGGTCATCACTGCCTTATAATAATAATAATAATAAATAGTATTTATATAGCGCAAAATATCAATGAAGTTCTGATGCGCTTTACAAAATTTATAAAAATAGTTATAAAAATTTATGAAAAAAAAGATATAAATGTTTATTTTTAAAATAAAATTTCAAAATCACATACTTTTTTTTATATTTTGCATAAAACACTAATACAATAATAATTATTTAACATTAAAAATACAGAACTATTTAAGTGAAAAGGCTTTCTTAAAAAGCCAAGTTTTAATTTCCTTTTTAAAAATACAAATTGATTTGGCTCCACGGACGTTCTCGGGGATAGAGTTCCATAGCTCAGGAGCTGCAAAAGAAAAAGATCTTCTGCCATAAAATTTAAGGTTAAAAGATGGTTTAAACAGCAAGTTGGCCGATGAAGATCTTAAAAAACGTGAGGGTTTATAAGGCTCGATAAGATTAGAAAGATAAGAAGGAGAAGTTCCATTAAGAATCTTAAAGGTAATTAAAAGAATTTTATAATCAATGCGTTGCTCTACAGGCAACCAATGTAAGTTGTAAAGAATAGGCGAGATGTGGTCGCATTTGCGGGTAAAAGAAATTAATCTTGCTGCCGCATTCTGCACGCGTTGTAGCTTGCTTATAGAGGACTTTGGAAGACCATAGAGCAAAGAATTACAGAAATCTAATTTAGAGGAGATAAAAGCATGCACAAGTGTTTCACACGCACTGACACTGAGCCATTTGCGTATTTTCCAAATATTGTGAATGTGGAAAAAGCATGATTTACATACTGCTGTTATATGGCATTCTAACGAAAGTTTTTTGTCAAAAATTACCCCAATATTTCGTGCAGAAGAAGATGATAAAATGTCAAAGCCAAGAATATTAAGTGACACTTCTGATGAGAAAGGGCGATGTGCAGCTGAAAGTACCACTAGTTCAGTTTTATCACCGTTAAGTTTAAGCTTGTTTTTAATCATCCATAAATCAATATCTTTGACACAGGCCTCAACCTTGGATTTTGCTGCTGTCATTTCACATAAAGATGTTGTAGAGAAAGAAATATATAATTGTGTATCATCTGCATACAGATGATAGCCCAGCTCATGCTGATGAATTATATCTGCTATGGGTGAAACATATAATGAAAATAAGATTGGTCCTAGAATTGATCCCTGAGGAACACCACAATCAAAAGGCCGAGAAGAAGATTTGCCTTCCGGNTGGTAGCTGTGTCACACTCTAAATCACGTTCGACATTGTTCTTGGCTTTCTTCTCGCCCTTTACTTCTCGGCATTCAGCTTCACTGTTCTTGVACGTGCTGGAGTCTTCAAACTCTGGCCAGTGTGACTCTGGTAACTGTAGAAAGGGTGGTCCTTGCAACCATTCTGTAAGATGCTCTGGTTCTATTCCTCTTGTGAGTGCGTCAGCAGGATTACTCTTGGATCGCACGTATCTGAAGCTTTCGGTGTCGACTGTTTCTTGTATCTCWGCCACTCGCGCCKATACGAATGGCTTGAACTCACGTGGAGGGGTCCTCACCCAGGATAAGACAGTGGCAGAGTCAACCCAGAAGATTTTTCTACAGTTCCYGATRTCTGTAAAGACCAACGCTCTGGTGCAGGCATCGTACATTCGCACCAGTGTCACACAACCGAGTAGCTCAAGTCTTGGGATTGATTTTTTCTTCAAGGGTGCAACGAATGACTTAATCATCACAGGGACACAGCAGTACGATCCATCTGACAACTGCCATCTGAGGAAAATCACTGCGCCAAATGCCAATTCACCTCCATCTGAGAAACCGTGGACCTCAGCACTTCCGACTGCTTCGCTAGGTTTCAGTTGACGATCGAAGTCAAGTTTTAGTAGTTGGTTCATGGTATGTAGATTCTCATTCCATCTCTGTTGTACACCGTTGGGTAGAGTGTCGTCCCAGCCGAACCCAGAGCTCCACAAATCTTGTAGATCAATTCTAAACTTCACTGTGACGGGAGCCACAAGTCCTATTGGGTCCCAAAGYTGCGCGAGCATAGCTAGACAATGTCTCTTTGTCAGCAGTTCTTGTTTACGCACAATTTCGTCTTTCTTTAACGAGAACTTATCAGATTCTTTATCCCAGCTATGACCCAGTAGATCCACAGACGTCTCTTCATTGGATGTATCGATCTCTTTCCGGTTGGAATGCCACGCTTTAATGTTGAACTGTCCCTTGACGAGTATGTCATCGATGTCTTCCATAATTTGCTTTGCCTTCAACACTTCTGATGTTGATCCAGCGATGTCATCGACGTATGCATGGTCCTGCAGTTCTCGTGAAGCTTCTGGAAACTCATCTTGCGAAAGTTTGGCCAGCAGGTTGATTGAGTTCGTAGCAATGTCTGGTGCTGGTTTATCGCCGAAACTTAACCTGGGCCATTGGTAAACGGTGGGTGGATCTTCAAGACTCTTCCTCCAAAGGAACCTATGGTAGACTTGGTCGTCAGGATGTACAACAATCTGATTGAACATTTAGCGGATGTCCCCTGAATAGGCGACATTGTCCCATCTCCAGGCTATGAGTACATCCGAGAGATTATTGATATAGTTCGGACCTCTTTCCAGATAATCATTCAGTGAAAGACCATCGTGCCCTTTGGCAGACATCGAAAACGAGACGTACTTTCGTAGTTTTCTCTGGGGTGAACACAGCTTGTAAAGGTAGGTACCATTCAGGTTGATCATGATAAACTTCTTCTTGAGCTACTTTAATGACGAAGTCTTGGTCAATAAGCTTTTGTACTTCATTTTCAACAATGTCAAAACAATCCCTTCTTTTGAAGGTCTTTTCTGACGAGTACATTCTCTTTACTGCGTTTTGGTGGGCCACTTTCTTTCCATGGCATCCTCACATTAACACGTCCGTCTTGGAGTGTAGTTGAAACCGAGACTGATTTCACAAATTTGTTTTCTCTTAGAGTGTCCTCTGTACAAGTGCACAACTTTGTTGGTCTGATTCCAATCTGATCCTGATAGAACAGTTTCTTGATATCATCCACAGCACTTACGGCATTTATGTCTACTGAGTGAATACTAGAATCGTCTTC